TATTGTTTTTAAATAATCCCAATTCAGCCATGCACAGGTATCCAGGCAGTGAAGGGACTTGGGGTAAATGGCATGTAAAGGTGAAGTCTGAATTTCTACACGCTGGCCTGATACACCAGTTTCCTTACAGAACTGGTCATGAACAAGAGATGCCCACACGCTGCGGAAAGGACAGCCTCCTCACCCAAAGGCCACCTCCTCCCAGCTGTGAGAAACCACAGGCCCTCCACCCCCCCGGCAACCCCTAACAGACACATCACAGCCATCAGTGGCTGAACAAGCAGCCTGCAGACCCGCCCAGTTTGGGGGATTCTAATCACATTCATTATTATTGGGAGCTGGATTTTGACGTGATCGGTAGATGAATCAAGATCAAAGTGGGTCCTGAATTAGCCGGAGGACCCTGCAGATAACAACTCAGTGTTTTCAGAAAGAAAGGATCTGTGCAGCTGGGCAAGGTCCCCAGAGATTCAACTTCTTTGTGCTTAAAATAGATGGGAAATTTATACAAATAGGCAAATTTAAGACTCATTACTCACTAATAAGGCTCACTGATCACTAAACATTAGATATTTCAGGGAATGACTGCATTTACAAAATGCTTTCCTTGCCTGCAAAATGGGGCTGAAACTAGAATCCATCACACTGCGTCACTGTGACAGTGAAGTGAACTGATATCTACCCAGGAACTATTACTTTCAAGTGTCCAGTCCTCTGTGGGTCCCTTTTGGGTACCATAGTGTCTAATAAGGACCTGCTACATAATTGACAGGAACCAGTGCAGAAAGAAAATGCAAGGCCCCTTGTTCAAATTTTTAGAATTTCAAGATGACATTATGCCAAGTTTGGGGCCCTTCTGAGCATGGTGCCATGTGGTTACCCAGGATCCATGCCTGAGAAGCCAGCCCTGTGTCTGATAATTCCATATACTAGACATGAGAATACTGAGGCCAGCATGCTCACTCAAATGGTACAAGACATTAAACAGAATCAAGGCCTCAGCTACGTCCCATGCACAGGTCACATAATTCTATGAGCCCATGGGATACAATTTGGCAATTATGCTACATGTCAGGTGTCCTTAGCTATAGAGGCTAGGAGATTCATAAATAAGCTTGGGGGATGTCTATGAAACCCCTGAAATTGTGCACTACATGTGTTTGTGGGCCTTTTCTGGGAAAATGGTTCATAGAGAATCCATGATTACAAAAACAGGGACTTAGAGCCACTCACTGTACCAGGTTTTCTGAGACCTCTGTATTTACCAGCACTTACCATGGTGTCTGGCATCTAATGGACAATCAGTAAATGCCACCTGGCAAAGGTAGGTAGGAGTGGGTGAGTGGGTAGGAGAGCAAATAGCCTTGATGGAAGTTGCTCACGTTCACATCCCAACTCCGCTGTCACTAGCTGTGTGAGCTTATGAGTCACTCACATTGTGAAGCCTCTATTTCCTCATCTGTAAAAGGAGCATAATAACTAGGACCAGCCATGCTACCCTGCTCTGGGGGTTAAATGAGCTGTTCACCGAGCACAGCTTTACATATGTGATGAGTGTCTACATTAGTGCTCATTTTACCTTTCTTCTGCCCTTCGTATTTATTCTGTTTAATTTGTTCTACCTTCAGGCCAACCTAGAAAAGAAAAACAAAATATGGTATGGGCTTTATCACATCAGTTTCTAAATAAACAGCTGATAAAGAAAAGATTATTTAATTAACTTTTTTCTTAATTCTTCTAGAAGGGTAGAAAGTAACTGTTGACTGTAATTACCTAGTAGGAAAACAGCAGATTTTCACTTTATACCTTTCTGAATTGTCCGCATTTTATTAAGGTAAACAAATGTCACTTTTGCAAATAAAGCCAAACAAAGATCTATATTTTCTAGGTCCGTGGATGTTAAAGTGTGAATTCCAGACCAGCAGAAGCACCCTCATCTGGGAACTTGATAGAAATGCAGATATTTAAGCCCCGCCCCACACCTACTGAATCTGAAACTCAGGTGTGGGGTCCAGCAACCTGCACTTTAACAAGGCCTCCAGGGGATTCTGGTACAGGCTAGAGTCTGAAAGCCCCTGCTCTGTGTCCTGAGGACGTTGAAGAGGAATCCCCAGCCCACCAGCCCACCCCAAAATGCATTCGTAGAGGTGCCAGAAATTCCACCACTGGTATCCTCTGTGTTGACATCAGTTACCTTTAATGCAAGTATTAGAGAAAAGAAGTTAATTCAAGAGTTTCAAACTCAAGGGCGGGAAGAATCCTGGAGCTCCTGGAGAAGGATTCCAGCAAAGTTCATGCGGATCAAAGTAAGTTGTTACTTAGCTATTTTTGTCATGCGGGGAATGTGGACCTCGAGTCGCCTGACTTTCCTCCTTTTCTAGGGAATATCTGCATGTGTACATGAATCCACCTCCTTGCAAAAATGATGAAATACTCAGGGAGCCAAACACAGCATGGCTGCTAGCGTGATCTGGCCCCAGGGTGGTGAACTGTTCCTCAGTCTGCAGCCCCTACCCCACCCAGGCTCCCCACACTGGTAAATAACAGTCATCATATAAACAGCTGTGGTCCTTTCTCAGGGGTATTGCACATTCATTTTCTCTCATTCCATCGTTTTGTCACCTATTAGGAAGATACCATTATCATCTCATGTTGCATATTCGAAAATGCAAACTTCCAAACCCTAACCGGCTGCTCAAGGCCACGTAGCTTGTAAATACCGACAGTCAGGACACCTTCATAAGGCTGGTGAATTTTAAGTTCACATTCTTAACAGCTACATAGGTTGATAATATCTTTGGTTAGCACTCTTGCCACTTTTGACCTTTTAAGTCTTCTTGCCTGCCAGCCCTGTGCCTGCTTGGTCCTTTCTAGACCTTATCTGTCCCTCTCTGCCAACCACCTTTTCATAGCATCTGATATTCCAGTGACTCCGAGTACGGATGGCTGCTTCTGCAGAGATGTGCCCCCGGCGCAGCAAGGGCCATGGTGTTTCTTCTGTCCTCAAATGACCCTGAAGTGCACCAAGTAGATAAGTAGATAGTCAGGAAACTGGTCAGTTGGTTGGTTCAACAAACAGCCAAAAATGCTGACACATCTGGGTGGAGGGTTATGGAGAATTTTTCCTGTTCTACTTGATACTGTTGATTGTAGCTCTTTCCCAGTTTTCTGCACTGAACATATGGTATGTTTATGATCAAAAGAAGGCAAAAAAGTAAAGGATAAACTTGGATTTGGAGTAGTTTCATTATCTTGTGATGTTCTTTCCCCCTTCTCAATGCCCCAAAAATAAAGATTGTAAAAAATTAGGTGAAACTGTAAAACTTCCAGAACTTTCCCCTCAAGGTTATAGCAAAGATTAGGAATTGGTGCTGTGCTCCCTCCTCAAATTCTGGCACTTGTTACTATGACTCTCGAGTGTCTATTTTTGGACAAATTTCCCCTTTCTTCTCACACACACGAAAAACAGCCACTACTCGCTATCACCAGTATAACTTCATTCTTCCAAGCCCAAGTTTATAGGCTTTTCCTAAAATATTTTTCCACAAAGAGAGAGCAGAACCATGTAACTATAAACGTGTTTATCTTAGTAAGAATTAAGTCCAGCTTCCAAATCCTGTGTTTTCTAAAGCATGTGAACGTTTTCCCAGTACCTGGCTTTATAGGCAAGCCATTCTATTTTCGGTTATTACCAAACACACAAAAGCCAACTCATCAAAATAGAAGCTACAGAAATGATTTTAAGCATAATTGTGGCCATAAACGAGACAACTCCTGACATCTGCCTTGAGCCAGGTGCCAGTTGAATGTTCTATGCGCATCATGTCCTCAAATCCTTGCAACAACTAAATGGGATGGATTACCATGAAACCCATTTTCTAGCTTAGGGAAATGCTTGCCCAGGATCTTGAACAGCAAAGCAGGTCAGCCCAACAGTTGAGCAGCCAGGTGACTTTCCTTTCCAAAACTATTCTCTTTCCTGAAATCACAGTAGTCTCCAGTCATGCACGAGTCCACGAAATTCGGCGACAGACAAAAGTTAATCCTCTTCCCACATTCCCAGGGTTTTTTTTGTTTGTCCCCTTTTTGGTGTGTATTTTTTGTCTAAAAATGACATTACTCTTATCACAGGATAATTATCAAAATCATAAAATTATCATGGATCTAGTACCATTATTTAATCTACAAACTTACTTGCATTTTGCCTATTGCCCTATTAATGTCCTTTACGGAAAAAAAACGTGTTTAAACCTGATTCAGGATCCTATTCATAGGTGGCACCCATTTTTTTTTTTTAAAGCAGAATGTATTATCTGTATTACTGTTTGTGACACATTAAAAAACAAGAGAGCTCTCGCTTGTCCCAGGGATTCTCATGGCTTTTCTTTCCAAGAGGGGCTGTATTTCTATCCACCTCGTATAGTCATGTAGACCCTGGGTGATAGGTGATTTATAGAGAAAAATTCCACATGCATTCCCTAAATAACCTGTGTCTTGCCTTCGGTATTCCATCACTCTTAGGTCAGAACGGTGCTATTTATTTCTTTTTAATCACCCCTGACCTGTTTTTCTGTGTTCTGCATTATCATCTGCTAAATATATTCCAATGTGTTATTTGTTTTAGTTGGAGGTGCCAAGACCTTGATATACCCTTTGCTCCCACCGCAGGAATTTCCCAAATAAATCCTGAAATGGAGGACAGTTGGGGAGCCAATCCCTGAAATTTAGAAAGAAGTAGCCTAGGTAAACATTTACTTCTATTTCCCTTTCTTTCCTGATCCCATAATTTCTCTTTATAGGAAATACACAGCACTTAATAAAAGCACCTCATGAAACCCTGATTTATTTTTGTCTCTTCAGGAGTTAGCTATCAGATGTTCTCTGGATGGCTCTGCCCCCGGGCCTGCTAATACCAGCTCAATCAGTCCTTCCCTCAATACCTCTTCTTTCATCTCTCTGAACCATCCCCCTCCTTTATTTGGGAAGCCTTCAGTCAAAAAGGGCCCTCTGGTCTGTGGCGGGGATGGTCTCACCCTGCTCCTTCCCTTCCGGAGGGTGTGTGCTGAGCAGCCCTTGCTGGCCCGTCTGAAATCACAGCTCCACTCTGTGTTAAGACTCAAAACCAAGATCACTGTGGATCTATGCCCAGGCTGCGTGTTCGGAAGCACGGCTGCTGTGTAAGAATTTCAAGGTAAACGGTTCTTCAAAGACCAGTCTAAATTGGCCTTCAGGGTGCGAAATGAGTGACTATATATTTTAGAGCTTAGCATATGACTTTTTGTTCTTTCTTCAAAATGAACATTTAAACCACCCCTCTGCCATTGTGCTGTAAACACTATAATTGGCTCTGTTTAAACAATGTAGCCATAACCAAACCAGATTATCTATCTGGACTTAATCTAGTCAGAACAAAGAAATCCATTCAGTTTGCCCTGGAATCCGATTTAATACATAAACGTGAATGGACAAAGTCAACGTTCTGGGTAACTTTAACGCAATCATATTATTTTTCAAGGCCATACACCAGAGAAAGGCAAATGTCTGAAAAAAAAAAAAAAAGCCATAAACTCACACTTGCCGTTACTATTTCTCACTTAGGGGCCTTCCTAATTCAGCAAGAAGCCATTCAAGCTGCTCCAGCAAAAGGTATTTAGCCGAAATCGCTTTGTGAATCACAGCTGTTTGTGTATTCCGACACCCTCCCAGAAGCCATGCTCTCTAAACTGGTTTCCCTTAATCAGGATATAAATATAAACCAGTGTTCAATAAAAATACTGCCTGACACTCAAAATGCCAAACTTCTAATAGCAGATAATGTTAGAAGCAAAATCAGAGCCCACATTAGTGTTCCTGGCTCTTAAGATATCAGCAGCAAGATTCGAGAAAAGCTAGTCGGTTTAAAAAGACAAATACTTCTCTCTTCTCCCACCCCCTTTATGTCATTTTGCTTTAATGAGGCCAGGCATGTATCTTTCTTTTTTTTTTTAAACACGGCAATCTAAGTTTTAGATTTGCTTATTATTATTATTTTTAATAGCCAGTATGTTCTAGCTTTCCATGCAACCTTTGCTTTCTGCTTCATGCTATTAATTATATTCTTGTTCAGTCCGCTATAAACTGCCCCTGTCGGCAGAGATTCAAGGGAGATTTGAAAGAGCTAGCATATTTATCAAAGGAGGAAAAAAATGAAGAAAATAAAGATAGCACTAGAGCATACTGGATATATAAACTGTTCTTTCTGAAAAGATAAATGATTTGGTAATGAATAGATCCTTTAGGCCATAAAAAATCCATTTATTTTCTTTTGATTTTGAATAGGAGAGATTTGCATTTTTCCTGAGCAGTTACACTTAGATTAAAATGCAGAGCATGAGGCGAGCATACAATCAAACTAAATAATCACCGGCACATACTGTATTATTCATAAAAACAAAATTAATAGTTTGGGAAAGGAAACATCGTGGTAGAAAAAATGTACATTGACACCAAACACCTACTGTTGGAGGAGAAAATAAAACCCATTCAGACTACCTATGAATTGGTAATAGAAGTTTGGCATTTATTCTCACATTATTTGGAGAGAAGGAGGGGAATGGGTAATGGGTTTATCTGGTATGTAATCTGCATTGTTTAAAATGCTCTTCTAAGAGCAAAATGTTAAGGCTGTTTCTCTGTATTTTGATGTCTAATTATATAACAGAAAGGCAACAGTTTTTTTTTTTTCCTCAAAGCACAGCAGAATCAAAATTTCTGCCCCTCTGTCCCCCACAATATATACACATTTCAAGTAAATGTCTTGCTGGGGTTCATCTGACAGCCGGGACTGGCCGAGGACAGGAAGTTGTGCAATAACCCTGCGTAATCTTTGTGTCTCTCCCCTTCTGCCCGTCTCCCCTCCCCCACCCCATGTGCAAGAGAGAAAGTATTCCAGTGTCTTTGATTGCCATCAACCTACGGTGGAGAGTTTGCTGGGAGACAAATATCTCTGGAGAGTTGTCCCTGCTAGTCTGATGACGACAAAGAACAAAATACAGGCTATCAGGGAAGGTTCAGGAATAGCAAGGTCTTAAAAATCAGGAGGAGACGGGGCAAGTAAATGTCTTTGAATTGGGGGAGTAATCTAAGATAAGCAAATCACCAAGGTACACATTCCAAACTTTAAAAATATATAAAGGTATGACAAAATCAGGGTACCTACAGAGGCCAGGCAGGGAGAGAGGGTAAGCCAGACGCCTGGCGGGGGGCTTGGGCGGTGGGGGTGCCGGGGACGGCGGGATGGGGGAAGATACCCCTCATCTCCCCGCCCTGGCAACACTGCCACGGGGCTGGGAGTTCAGACTCGGTGTGGCCCGAGCTCACGTTTTGTCAAGGAAACCCAGAAATCCAGATTTGTTTTGAAAAGCTTACTTGAGAAATGTTGGCAACTATTTCAAAATGTTGAAATACTATCTCAGCCAAAACAAAAACAGAAAACCGTGAGGGTGAGCTAGTGCCCGCCAGTTTGCTCCCCCCACTTACAGTCCGCATGGAATCCAGGAAGGCTGCTCCGAGCAAGCACTTAACACCTACCAGTTCCTTGCTAATCCTTCCTGAATAGCTCTGTCTGATTGGACAGATCCTGACTGATAGGATGCACATGTTACTTCTTATCTTTGTCATATGCCATGTACTCATTCAGCTGTGTTTTACTGAATATTTACTATGTGCCAGGAACTAGGCACTGTATGGAGTGCTCTTGTCTCCAGGGAAATCCAGCATTAGAACCTTGATCTTTTAATTCAATAATTCCAAGAAATAATTCCAGGGAAGTTACCTAAAGCTGGTTTAAAAGGCAGTATTTTCTCTTAAATTCGCAGGGTTTGTATTGCACATGAAGTAATTAAATATTTGATTTAATAGATTCGTATCTACTTAAAGATACTCATTAAGGGTTTCCCAGGCCTTAGAAAAGCTGAAACTTTTCTTATCTGTGTTTGTATTATAGTATGGAGCCCACGTTTTATCTCTGTCCTGCTTACAACGCTAGTAATTCCCTGAAAGGGACATTCCCCTTAATCTTTTGGCAGTATGTGGACAAATGGGAAATTAACTGGTTTTTGTGTCGCCGGTTTTTTTCTCGGAAGTGATCTACTTTACAACAGACGTAGTCTTTTTCCCTAGGGAATAGTAGCGTGTTCAAGTGGAGACCAAGAGCAGGCCTGTAAATGGTTTAAAAATTGCAGATATCAAAAGCAATTTTTTGCCCGTTTAGTGTGAGGATCATTTGGTATAACCTTTCCGGAGGGCAATTTGGCAACATGGAACCAAATACAAGATGTGGGTAGATTCTGCTACCGATATCCCACCTTTGGAGATTGACCTTAAGGAGACTGTCTCTCAGATGTGAAAAGCTGAATTATACAAGGTCGTTTGCACAAGGCCGGGTTTGGAATGATGATAGATTGCAAACCACCAGAATGTCCCTAAGCAACAGGCAAAAGGATCGCATAAAATAAACGCAATGGAATATTTTCAGCCTTTAGAAAAGATAATGTTCACCTGTGTTCATCATTGCAGGATAAGGTGTAGGACGTAAAGCACAGAATTTATGTAAAACTCCCATGTGCGTAGGAGGAGTCAAGAATGGTGTTCCTCAAATGTTAGGAGGGCCCAAATGTGGTAGAATTTTAATGATTTTCACTTTGGACTTCCCTTAAAGTTGAACACAGGAGACGTAAACAACAACCAAATCTTTTTCAAAGCATTAGCGATGTATCAAGTCAAGAAAGGACTTAGTGCTGAGTGGGAATGAGAAGAAACAAAGAAGCATAAAATAAGAAGGCTGAATAAATAAATAACTTTCTCCATGAACGGATAGTGGTGACCGGAAATTGAGGAACAGTCGTGACTGTGATTTCTGAGGTCAGACCAGCTCTCACTCCGAACAAGGCATCCCTTGGCACCTGGCAGGTCTGCCCTGCACACCTCAGCTTGCTGCCACAGCATTACCCCGCGTGGGGGGGTGGGGGAGGGTGCTGGCTGAAAGAATGAAGGGCCAGGGTGCCTCTGTCACACTCTCAAGCACAAACAGCACTTTTCCTTTTGCCGTCCCAGCTCTGGCGGCTCTGCATCAGGTCTGCCGTTTGTGATTCAGCTTTTGAAACCACAAGTGCACACCCCCAGGAACAAGTTGACAAACGAATTGAGCTGCTCCTTGGCCTGCCGTGCCCTCTGGATTCTAACCCACAGCTCGCGCGAAGCCACCTTTGCAGTCGGGTGAGCATACGCAGTGTTTGCTTGGGTTTCCTGTAGACATAGCAAGGTGCCGGAAGTTTCCAGACCATGTGCCACGATGTTAATAAGCAATAGAATGAACCCTGAACAACAAAAATTCCTGTGATCAAATCAGCATAGGAAATGCTGGACTAGAGAGAAGTCAAACTGTGTTCTTTCCGACAGAACTTCTTAACTCCTTTAACACATAAACTTGGGCTGTGGATTTCCAAAGGGAGAAGATTGCACAAAGTCACACAGTAGTAAACAGTGTGAAGCAGCAAAACCCAAATCATCTCACCCAGGAGTTCAAACTCAACCAGTAAAACTTTCAATGAACATAGTCCCCTGGCCCGGCACAAAGCAAAAACTTTCTTGGCAGCTCTTATTATGCTTATGTGTGCTACCTGCTTTATTTCAGGGAGTGGTTCTCTGGGCTAGATTGAACTTCAGCCCCACCTATAAGGACCTCAGGAAGGAGCTGAACAGAGCACAGGCTTATAACAACCTGCAGTAGTGAAATTAACCCTGTAAACATGGGCAGGATCTTCTCCACCCTAAAGTGTGTCCATTTCCTCAGGACATCCCGAAGCAGCCATGAATTCATTTCTTCATCAGCAACTGTACCTTGAGTACCTACGAAAAGCTAGGTATTGGGTCCACTAGGTACTGTGTTCAGCCCACAAGGCTCACTCATGCACATCAATGATAATCAAAACGTTACGATTAAAAGAAGCTGGGATATAAGATTAGGTAAGGTGTTTGTTAGATTTTCAACCATAAACTTGGGAATAATTTTAATGGATCCTTTGGGGTCTGAAAATCCCCCAATACCTCCTGTTGGTTGGGGTGTTATCTCCTCCTTACAAATTTAATGGGTCCAATATACATTTCCAAGGCTGTGGGATGTATATACTGAAAATGCTCTAAGACCTCCACTTCAATGCTAAGTCTGAAATATAAGTAAATTCCTACTGTGTTCAGAATACCAATTTTATGTATGTTTGGTTGCATTAGATATCTTTTTAGAAAATACATATGGAGTTCGAAAGCATGTATACTCTCCAGCCTCAGAAGAAGTAAATGCTTCTTAGGTATAATTTTTAATAATGTGTGAGTAGCACACTGAACTTTAAAATAATATCCTTACAAGAGAGCTACAATGTGTATGTAGCTCTCTTAAGTCATAGAGGGAAGTAAGATGTGAAATAAGGCACAGAGAGGCAAAGTAACTTGCACAAGGTCACACAGTCAGTGATCTTGACCCAGGTGTAAGCAAGACCTTCCTGTTATCATTACTGCCGCATGTCAATCCCCCAATACTTCCAGTTGGTTGGGGTGTTATCTCCTCCTTACAAATTTAATGGGTCCAAGATACATTTTCAAGGCTGTGG